GGCGAAAGCTAGTATGAACGGGAAAGAGATCTTCCCTGGAGCTGGCCCTATTCGAATCAACTTTGCTAAGCCACCCTCCGCGTCGAACACCCCGGGTCACGACGGAGTGTTCCCGAGTCCCAGCCCTGATCCCTTTGCCAAGAGTCAAGACGGGACTGCTTCTGGTGGCATTGCTGCCACGGCTGATAATGCGGCGAACGCCTCGAACGCGGCGAATGCAGCGCCGGTAATCCCGCCTTTGCACGAAATGACGGCAGATATCCTCCAAATCGTCAAGTCCTTTGGCGCCACAGACGAAGACGCATACCGCATCTCCCATAATCTTCAGCAAGCTATCCAGTTCAATACGTTTGCTGACGAAATTCCTCCAATTCGAGAGCCCACACATACAAGGGTTCATGATGCGCCAAAGCTGAGGGATATCCGAAAGCGTATTGACAATCAAAGTTTATCTCAAGGGGATATAGAACACATTGCTACCGAGATGCTTCCTGAGATCGCAGAACTGTCCTCGGATTATCTGGGCAATACCGTCGTTCAAAAGTTATTCGAGCACTGCTCGGACAACATCCGAGACCTTATGCTAGCCAAGATCGCTCCGCACATGGCAGAAATTGGCGTTCATAAGAATGGTACCTGGGCAGCTCAGAAGATTATTGATGTGTGTAAGACGCCTCACCAGATGACCCTGATCGTGCAGCACCTGCGGGCGTACACTATTCCGTTGTTCCTAGACCAATACGGCAACTATGTCTTGCAAGGATGTCTCAAATTCGGCGCTCCATTCAACGATTTCATCTTTGAGACTATGCTCAGCAAGATGTGGGATATCGCTCAAGGCCGATACGGTGCGCGAGCTATGCGGGCGTGTCTCGAAAGCCATCATGCTACTAAGGACCAGCAAAGAATGCTTGCAGCAACTATTGCACTCCACAGCGTGCAGTTGGCTACCAACGCGAACGGCGCCCTTCTATTGACCTGGTTCTTGGATACTTGCACATTCCCCCAGCGGCGTAGTGTTCTAGCTCCCCAGCTTGTCCCCTACCTTGTACACCTCTGCACACATAAGGTTGCGTATCTTACCGTCCTGAAAGTCATTAACCAGAAGGCGGAACCAGAAGCAAGGGATGTCATTTTGAAGGCTTTATTCTTTACTCCCAAGGATCAGACGTTGGAGGCTATTTTAAGCGACCACTCATGCGGTGCTACATTGATCTTCAAAGTTCTCACTACGCCATTCTTCGACGAGAATATAAGGGGCCAGGTTGTAGAGAATGTGAAAAGTGTTCTTGTCCGCATTAAGGCACAGCCTAACCAGGGCTACAAGCGTCTGATGGACGAAGTTGGTCTATCTACTCGCAGTGGTGGCGGAGGAGGCGGATCCCGCGATCATTCTGTGGGCAACAACCCGTCGACTGAACGGCAACGACCCGCATCCCGCCAGGCTCAGGCTAACAACGCTGCCGTACAGCAAAATTCTCAATACGGCAACCAGTATCTGAACCCGCTCAATCCTACCAGTAACGCCTCGAATTTTGATATGGGCGGCTTCCCGGTACCTAGAAGTGAGAGCGCGGAGTCTGCAATGTCTGCATTCCCGTCATATGGACATCAGGGCCCCATGTACAATGCAACCGGCGGATCGATGGCACCACCGGTAAACATGCAGCAATTGCAGTACCAGCAAAATATGCTCCCGCGCGGAACACAGCCTATGAACAACTACTTCCCGCCTATGCAAGCAGGCTTCGGAGGGTACAGCAATGCAAACCCCTCGATGGATCAGTACCGTGGGCAGAACACAGCTACCGGTAGTCCCATCCAACCGCCTGGGGCTCCTGCTGGGTTCGGCCCCCCTGGCTTCGGAATGGGAATGGGCATGGGAGGTTACGGCTACGGCAATGCTATGCCCTACATGCAAGAGCAACCGGTCAACGCCAGGCGCGGACGCGTAGGTCAACCCCCTCAACGGAAGAGGTCACCTCGACCGTAATTTCCGACGATGCTGACAGATGACTTCAGAGGTGATCTCAGAGGTCATCTTGACTGTTTCACACGAGATTGGATGGCTCATCTACGTCGATGTGCGTTTTACTATTCCGAATTGCATGATTGTACAGATAGGGGTGTTGGTAGGCTCGGCATGTTTGATTTATATTCTGAAGTTTGTGGCAAAGCAGTTGTGGGCAATCCACCGAGACCCAGCTAGCAGCACGGCCTGGTACGCTGTGGAGGGCTGGAAACCACCCTGGCAGTACTTGGATCTCTATACGGTTACCTTCGTTGAAATGTGACCGTGACCGTTGAGCAATTCTTAGACGGGCTTTACCTCGCGGCCATGTTTTGGAATTGCGGTGTGTTTATGGACGAAGGGTTATTCCGCCACGTTTATTATGTGTACAAAGTCAGTTGCTCCGCGCGGGCCAGCCAAAGTTCAAGCGGATTTGTTGAACTTTGACGCGATTCTATCATCAGCAGGCGATATAGAGAAAAGCAACTAGGGTTGACGAAGCATATGTGGCACGGAGCAAGAGAAGTGTGCGGAGAAATTGGATCTCTGCTCTAGAGGGCTCTCTTGTTGCAACGGAAGACTTGCTCGCAATTGGCTTTCGCTTCGGCTTCTGTGACGACCCCCATCCTAAGCAAGGGAGAAACACCAACTCCCGAGTGGCCAGAGGGACTAGCATCACTAAGCCGAGTAGATGGATAGGAAAAATATTTTAAGAGACGAATGATTTTTATTTTTTCCACTTTCATGTCGCCCATTCCGGGATCGTTCTTTTCGTGATACTAGAGTTGTGAATGGCGGTGAGAAGAGAGGTGCTTTCTCCTCAACTCTAACTGGAGGGTGGTTTTTGTCACCGCTTCGACTATGTGATTAGGCATTCAGAACGACGATCCTAGCATATTTTTGTATGACATACTCTTGACATACTCTTGGGTATCGTCTTGCGGGCACCCGACGACGTGATACGACGAAGTCGCAAGATGACGGCCCTTTTTCTCTAGTGTCCTATTTTTCCTTCTCTTCGATGCTTACGTAGTTTATTGTTTGTTTTGCGCGTGTACTTACCTAGAGGTATGATTAGTATCCACCACGATGTTTTAGTTAAGGCCTCCCTTGGGCTATAACTCGAAACTGCCGAGACTTATTGCATCATCGCCGGCACTTTTTTGCTGGGGCTTACTTACTAGCTAGCTAGCTTAGCTACATACATATATGTAGATAATAAATAACACACGTGCTAATTAATTACTTGCATCCTACCTTGTCTTGCAATGTCCCGTCTTGAAATAAGTAAAGGGTTAACTACCTACCTAGGTACCTATATATATAGCCTCCTTATTGCCGTCCAGCATTTACGTATACACTTTACTTACACCATATCATCCATTTCTACGTTTATTCAGCGTATACGTCCCGTCGAGCTGACGTGGCTGGCTGCCTTACAGTGGTGGTGGGTCAAACCAGCAAAGACCTCTCCTCTCTCTCTCTCTCTCTTCCTCTCTATATCCCTTTCCGCCTCTGTCTGTTTCTCCGGCTGACTGGCTGGCTGGCGTATATTGTATGTAGTAGCCTCATCAAGTCGTAGCATCCTGCCTTACCTGGGTAGGTACTATGTACATACATAGCGGCGATGATCCATAGATGATGGCTTGGGTAGGGTAGGTAGGTAGTTATGTATGTAGTTGAGTCGATTAAAACCAGCCATCTCGATTTGGCCCAGCCCAGCCCAGCCCAGCCCGCCGGGACTCGGGGTTACGGAACTCGGTGTAGATCCGGTTGAATTTTCTTCTTTTTTTTTCTTCGTTTTTTCCCTCCCCCCCCTTAGTTGCGTACCTCGTTCGAGACAAGACACCACCACTGGTTTGCTTGCTTGCTTGTCTCGTAGGACTACATAGTCTAGGTAGGTTACCTACTTAGAATTATCTAGATTTATAGATAGCCGATAGATATCTAAGTACCGATCATACTACCGAGTTAATTAGCCAGCCACAACATATTTATTTATACCTACTACAAGCTTACCTACCTTTCCCTTCAGTCTTCTTAGCAGTAGCGCTATACGCTAGATAGACCAGCCAGCCACTTATTAAAAACCAGTCGACGCAATAGAAGTCTGGGAACTACGGGGAGAGAAAAAAAAATCTGCGTTTCCTACATACTACCTAGTATACGAACAGGTGACTATAGTTACTAGGTAAAGCTAGAGCTCTCTAAGTGCAACGATCCAGTTTTCCCTCCCCTCACGTAAAACGCCGATCCGCGATCCGCCTGTCCACTCGCATGGGGTTTTGGCTTTCTCTTGCTTTCTCTTGTCTTGTTTTCTTCTTTTTTCGCGGCTCCGAGAAAAGGAGGGACGAGAACATATTGTCGAGAGACCGGTCGGGCAAATGGAAATAAAAGCAAAAAGCAAAAACAAAAAAACAAGAGAATCAGGTCAACGAAGAGGGAAAAAGAATCTCTAGACCCGGTCCACACTCGCCGAGGTAATTTCTTCTCCGGCTGCTTTCCTCTGGACTGGGCCAGCCTGCGAAGGTTGTGTCGAAAAGAAACCAAAATCTATGTTAACCGAGGGCTTGCAAATATGAACAGAGTGAATGAATCGGTCGAAAAGAATTCCCCAGGATCTCGAGAGCTTCATGATTTGTCTGTTCCTACCAATGGCGCTTCTCTCTGCCCTTCCCTGACTGCACGCGTGTTCGGTCTCCCCGTCCCGAGTACTAATACACAAATTGAGGCGGGCAAAGACTATCTTCCAGTCTTCCATTATCGCCTGTGAGATGGTGTTGAGGATATGATGCACTATGACCTGTGATCATGTCCAGAGTCGAAATAGGCCCCATTTCAAACAGGGTTCAAGTCGATATAGTATCCGTTTGCAAATGCATAGGGACTAGAAAAGCCTAGGTGGTAAAATAACCTCTCTTGCAAATAATTCGTTTCCAACGGCTTCCAAGGAAACCCGATAACTGAGGATTGCCGTGCCATAATGCGAATGAAATTAATGCAATTTCCGTCAAATCATGTTGGAGTAAAGAAAAATTAATAAGATCTGATACCGTGGATACGGAGCTGCCATTTCTTTCATGCTCGGTTCACGGGTATCGAAATTCGTATGATTCCATGGTCTAGGGCAGACAAGGTTCTGCCATGACCGTCTCAAAATGTAACGTAAAACATTGCAAAAAGCAACAGCGTGCGAGGCGTACGAGAAGTATGAAAATTTAGTCGATCTGCATTGTAGAATCATCGGTATCATCGGCAGTGGGTTTGCGATCATGACCGCCAGAGTCACGAGCGACGTCTTTGCTCGGAGTGCAGTTCTTATCGTCTGCAACAACAGTCTTGTCGTCTTCCGGGCTCTCGTTTGAAAAGGGTACCTCTAGCTTCGTACCTTCGCGTGATGCTTCGTCCGCGGTACTTTCTGAACTATGCTGATTTCTGCTCTGCAGAGTCTGGCGGATAGCCTCCCTCATGGAATCCGCTTGAAGAAGCATGGCCACGAGACTAGCATTGTCGACTGAAGACAGACCACCAGCGGCAATACGTGTAGCATCCCCGGCTGCCATGAGAGAAAGAACACTAGGACTAGCTTGGGACTGTATACGTTATTAGCCTCACAATATGAACAAAAGATAGGATTTGACCTACTATCATGGCTTCGTGCAATATACTGAGACCATCATTACGACCGCTAGCCAGCTGAGCAAGGTTTAATGCCGCTTGCTGCTCCTGAAGAGTCCGTGCCTTGGATTGAACTGTAAGACCGGGGCTAGACGTACTCATCCGAGTAGAGCTTTGTTGGCGGTTCTGGCGTATACTGTTTCATAGATTAGCATCTTGTTAGAAAAAAAAAAGTAGCCTAGATTATCCTACCGGGAGATAAAATCCAGTTTGATGCCCTTTGCAGATAGTCGGTGAATTTGGCCAAAACCTTTGTATCGTCGCCAAGCGTCCGCATCATCTTCGCTATCGTCGTTCTCGATCTCTATCCAACCGTCGTTGGCCATCCCTCTGCTGTAGCTCTGCTCGATGACTGGTGCATTCTTGATCTTCCGGTGGCGATGTGCCGGAGCCAGTCTTTCGGGCAGCTCGCTAAGCATGTCCTCAACGTGGCAAGGGCAGCGCCAGGTCCGAGGAACGGGCGGGACGGCCAGAGGTGGATCTAAGCATTCAAGATGCCAATTAAGCCCGCACACCGAGCAGGGAATAATGGGACGGTTATCCGATACCCCCTTCTGGCAATGGTGGCAAAGCACTGCGCCATCCGCGTTTCTGACCTTGAAGAAGTCAAAGGGCTCGTCGGCACCCTTCTTGTTCGTCCTGGAAGGGGAACGCATTAGCCGGGTAGACATAAGAAGTAGGGCAATCTAAACTTACTTAGGCTTGGGAGGGGCAATCTCTTCATACTCGCCCTCAGGCCCCGTCCGAACACCCTCAAAAAGATCTCTGATGTCCTCGGGAAGACGAAACGCTCTCGGGTTCTTCCTGTCCAGGACAGCGAATAGGGAACGCAAGGGCCCATCATGCTCGCTGAAAGGTGGGCATTGGCGATGCTTGCATTCGTTGCAATACCATTCATCGGGCATGCGACCTTCATCCATCGGAGGATCTATGCATAGGAAATGGAAGGAATAATTGCATCCATCACAACAGACCAGTTCACCATTACCCCCACAGGTATAGCAGGAATCATCATTTTCGTCCTAGCGGATCTCGTCAGCATGAATATTGACACATGTACACATGTCGCGGATAGCTGATGCAACAGTTTCGGGTCCAAGCGGGAACCAAGAAGATCCAATCGCCACCGCTCCGAACTCGCGCGTTTGCAGTCCTAGGGCTAAGCCTCCCTTGGCCCGCCGCGGGAACAAGTCGCACGAACGCACATGGTATATGGTATATGGGACGAGAAGCGCGATTGTCTACGTCCGTAGAGATGGAGAGGTAATAAGGATATGGATTTTTGCTCACCTGGTTATTCGGCGGTCCGTTGCCCACAGGGCTCGGCCGATCACCATTGCTACGAGGAATTCCCGCAGAAGTGCCCTTCTTTTTCATCGGTCTATCGTGTACAACAGGCGTCGGTTAGTAAATGCTCCCTTGCAACGCAGATATAGGCCTCGCGAGTAAAGTAAAGGATTCCACGTAGGAATTAAGTTTGACCCGATATGAAATCATGTGGTGCCACATCGCCACTTGGCTGGGCCTTGCTTTGTGACAGCACACCCCATTCGGTCGGACCACGCTGTGAGCTGTGATAATTAAACAGCACTACAACAACACAACACAACACAACACAACAAAAATACAACGCAGCAATAGATTAGGGGGGAATGAGGAAAAGGGAACTCACGAATTCTTCACGCGCAGTCCAGCTCTGGGCTTCTTGTTGGAGCGAGGGTTGGAAGGCGTCGCAGCACGCGAACCGCGAGCTGAGGACGGCGGCTCCAGATCGGCGGCTCTGAATGACAGCGCGGTAGGTGAGATGGAATCATCAAGATCATCATGGTGTCTCTTAGCCGCTCTGGCAGCTCGCGAGCTTAAAGCTGGCGTCCGAGATGAGCGGCTCTGCTCCGCTGCATGAGGAGGTGGTGGCGGAGGCGGAATAGCCAGCTCGAAGGATAGATGGTCAAAGTCAAGAGGCCGGCGGATGAAGCTATCTTCGGAGATGTCCTTGGTGGTACTAGTATTCTCCAACTTCTTGCTCAACTTTTTGCGAACAAGTAGATCCGAATCATCTACTTCTCCAAATCTGCTCGCAAACTTCAAGTTGGTAGATGCTTGCTGCTTGTTCTGGTGGTGATGGGGCGGATGGGGGGAGCCGTTAGCAGTAACAACAGCGGGCATACTCGAATCACGAGAGGGAGGGTGTGAACGGGTAGTGTTTTGTGAGGGCGGATGCTTGGGTGATGCACCATTCTTCTTTTTCGCGGCGGGTTTCTTCTGGTGGCTGCTGATTGGCTGGCTTGAGCTTGCCGGGATTTGCGCATTATTTGGCTCGGCAGCTATGGGACGCGCGACACCCAGGTCGTCATCCACCTGATCCATGTATTGCTCATAGTCATCGGGTACATCGTCAGGAACTGAAGATAGAGATGATGAGCTGCTAACTGATCCTGATCGCGTTTTTCGCGACTTTGGTGACTTTCGTGGTGACTTTTGTGGTGACTTGGTGCCTGTGAGACCTTTAGGACGGCTGATTCCATTTCCATTTGCCTTGAGCTGAATAGGATGGTTGCTGTTGCTGCCTTCGTTTGCCATGCCATCTTCATTTTGATCATGACTATGACCATTACCATTACCATGACCCTGACCATGACCAAAACCAAGATCAAAATCAAGCTTCACTTTCTTGCTGACATGCTCATCAGGCGTGTCTTCAGGAAGAATGCTTAGATCCATTTTGACCAGTTCCGCATAAGGTGCAGGCTTCGGCTTATGAGGCGTAAAGCGGCTACCCGTGGACGGGGGCACAAAATAGTAACAGCCTTTGTTATCCTTTTTGCCGTCCTTTTTCTTGTCGCATACAAGCCTGTTGAACTCTTTGATCGTATCTATATCTGCTCGCTGATGATAGATATCTTCAATCATAGACACAAAGTGAGGGTCAGATGAATTTTCATCGTAAAGTAGACGAAGTGCCCAGGCTGTAGGGTAGCGATAATGCCTAAGAGCCTCGTCTACTGCAGCCTCGACAACTTTATCTGCGAATTCTTTGTCTGGTTCGCGATGATTAAGAATAGAAGGAGGAGGATGGAAATGAGGAGATGAGATTGTGGGTGTATTTGTTGTTATGGTTGCTTGGTGAATGTGAATGGGTGAAGAATCAACTGGCGTAGGACTGGGCCGTGCACTTCGTCGCCTAGAAGAATGTCTCCTTGCCGCGTTGCTTGGGGTGACTTGGTTGACTTGGTTGACCTGGTGGACCTGGTTGGAAGTTGGTCGCACCTTTGATTTTTTAGGCACATAATCTTCATCTTGTCCATCATCCATAATTGAAATTGGAAGGAGAGGTTGGGATAATGGCGATAATGGCGCTGCATCCACTGCATCCACAGCTTTCACTGCTTCCACCATATCCACTTCACCACCGCCCGCCTCTTCGCCCGATTCTTCTCTTCTACTCGGTACCGGTACCCTCTCCGCCGCAACTGCAACTGCAACTGTCGGAGTAACGTATGGTTTCTTTAAAACAATCCGCGTCTTTACCGGAGGAGTTGGCAATGCCTCTCCATTCACCGGTGATTTCTTATGCATCGCTGCCTTTGGTAATGTACCCAGAGGAGCCATGTTTTCCACCACTCCGCCTCTAATCAATCCTGCCTCCTGGAAGCTGGCTTTGTTCTGCACTGGTGGTTCGAGCCACCTTTGCATGAATGTTCTTTGACCATTATAACCGGAAGGCGAACTCGAATGTAACGGACTGGAGAACCGCGAACGGATAGGTTTGTGGTTGGAAGCCATTTTGTGGCTCCTTCTCTCGCGTTTTTTTCTTCTTTTTTCTTCTTCTTCTCTCGACTGATTTTTAGGGGAGGGGGGTTGTAACACCCCTTTTGCCTGGACCTCGCTGCGCTCAGCACTGCGCGACACAGTATTGAATTAATTGTACAGTAACTATAAAAGTATTAGATTCGTACTCTTTATATATTGATAAATTCGCACTCACATTTATTTACGCTGGATCCAACGGCAAGAGGATCACGTCGCGCTTTTTTGATGATGGGTGTTTGTCCTACGCGGTAGGGCGAAGGGAGGGTTATGCGAGATTCCAAAGCTCCAAAATTCGGGAGTGGACGGTGGCCCGCCACGACCAGCACGACCAGGGGGAATAACATACGCTACCTTACCCGGGGCAATGCTATTGTACCTAACTGTATACCCCCCCTAAACCCGCCTGGTCTACTGTGCTTAATGTTTCAACGCTTACTATTATCTCTCCAGTTCCTTCGACTTCTTCTTCTCATTTATTACCGAGGGAAATTCTATATACTCTTTGTAGCTTTAGTTATTTCTTCTTTTTTTTCTCTTCTTTTTCTTTTCGCCCTTCTTCATGTATTTCACTTCGGAATTTCAATTTCAAGTTTAGTCCTTTTTTTTTAACTTCTAGTTTTTCTACCCCTGCTTTCTTCTTACGCCGTTGGAAAGTTCTCCTGTCCGATTTAAATAACTACTACTCATCACATGCCCCCTTTTCGACGAACGCCTCAAGATTTCCACCTCCGACTATTTTATCCCCACCTTTCCTGCTGCATCTATCCCCTTCCCTATTTTTGTTGCCCTAAAGATGATCACGCCACCCGGGAGCCCGGGATTCTGACTCACATACGGAAGCAGAAGGTATCTAGGCGAGAGTAATACTGTCTTACTCCCGAGCTTAGAGATCTGCCTTCTTAAATCCGCCACGATACCCAACCGTAATAATCGCTATCAATTTTGCTTCCTCTTTGCTATAGGAGCACTGCTTATCTTTCTCATTAGTAGGTGCTCATTATACTACCTAGGCATTACGTAGTCAAAAGGCAGAGATAGTCAGCGTAGGATTGGTGCGTTGAGCTTTCTCATGGCATAAGAAACACCTCCAGTTATGATAATTTCACATATATGACGTATCTCAACATATCTCAGCTCAAAAATTCTTCTCTTTTTCTTTCTTTTTTTTTCCTCTACGGGACTAATAATACATAAGCTGAGTCTCATGTAAACAGTTTCCCTTCGACTGCGTGGAGTCCACTATGCGTTTTTCTGCGCCAGGCCGCCCTGTGTGGCTCGAAGCAACACGCCAGGATGCCGAACTGGATAGGCACGCAAGTCATATCGAATCGATAAACGAAGCAATTCGGAGCCCACGCTACTCGCCTGGCGTAGTATCACCTGTGATCAAGGCACCGCCGGTTGACTTAATACGTGCCGCCGGAAGAGTTTGCGCTATAAATGGGCCTACTCCTCGCTCTCATCCTCGCTCTCCTCATTTTCCCCATCCTTCGCCTTAGCGGCCTTCTTCGCGGGCTTCTTCTTCTTCTTGTTCTTGCTCTTTCCCTTATTCTTGCTCAGGGGCTGTTCCAGGATCTTGAGGACCTCCTCATCGGTAATCTTCTTATCTGACTGGAATTTGCTCAAATCTAGTGCGGGTGGCGCACCGAGTTTCGTAATACCATTCTTAGTAATGGCTTCATTATCATTAGTAATAAGAAAGTTAAAGGGAGACTTTTTAGACATTTAGACATACCAAGCGTGGTTAATAATCGGGCTACTTGGGCGCCATCCTTGTCACCAACTAACTCATACTGTCGTAGCACGCCTTGACGGACGCCTTCGTACACTCCGACCTTGTATTTGGTATCTCCACCTTCCTCCTCGAGTTGTCTCAAGCTGAAAGGGAAGTGACCGAATTTGTTCTGGATAGTAGATAACGTCTTGCGCGCGGTCGGCGACTTCAGGATGTATGTATTGTTCGTGCGGCGGAGTAACGTTGCGCGTTGGTCAATCGTTTTGACTTTGCCAGAACCCAAACTCAAGCCTATCTCCACACCCCATACCTCGCCTACTTCAGGGAAGCCCTCCCCCTTAGTACCCTCTGCGGGAGCGATCACAATCTTCTTCTTGCCTTCGATATCATTGCGGTCGAATAGCCAGGAGGTTGTGCTCTCTACCAGGTTGCACTCGTAACTCTTGGCAACCTTGTCTAGGAGAGAGGTGATCTTGGTCTGAGTAGGGGGTTTCACTGCAGAAGCTTTCGCTTTTTCCTCATCGCTTCCGGCTGTTAATAATCCGGGGGGAACCAAAAGACGTAGGAGAAGCTCATTGGCGTAATACGTGGCGAGTATCAAGTCGGCAGAGCGACCGGTGATGACATCTTCCGCTCCCTCCTTCGGCGGAACGATAATTGTGTCGCAGACAATGGAACCAAATCCGTCTATCTGCGCACCGAGCTGGATCTTTACGGGTTCGCCTGCTTGAAGTTCGACATTCGCTTCGGCGGTGTCGGATGTCAAGGGAGTATAGGGTGTCACGTATGAAGCCGGAGAGACAGTCGTGGGGTGGGAAAAGCCTACACACATGTGACATAAGCAAACATTTCAGTGCGCGGAAGGTTCGTGTAGTATCTAATGGCCTTAGAAACTTACCCTTGAGCTTAGTTGTGCGGTATACCTTAGCGACCTCTTCTTCAATAAGCTTGTCTCCCTTCTGGCAGATAGTGACAACCTTCTCGCCAGCAACACATAACTTGGATACGGCTGCAAGAACTTTCTCCGATATGTTGGCTGCGACCCTATACTTGGTGAGGGTGTCTGGGTTTGCCAGCGAGTAGTCTATGAGTGACATAAATTAGCTATTACTCGAGTTTACCGAGTCTCGTGAGGTCCGACATAATACCCCGAGGAAGATTCGGACAGAATCGATGGCGGGGTATTTCACACGAAGCTCTTAAGAGAAGAAGGGAAAATATAGAGATTGATGAACGAACCGGTATCCTTTTCGTCGGACATATTTACCATCCAGTCAATTACGCTGTCTATTACTGGTTGGAAAGGAATTGGGTTGGCTTCAAGGTTATGGTAATAAGGTGAAGCTTGAGGGTAAGTAAGAGCTTGAGGTAGTAAGAAGTGGGAATAGGTAAGGCAGGTTAAGGTATTTTGGTATTTTCGCTAACTGCGGGGCTTTGTGCGAGTGCGAGTAATAAGAGAGAGGGGCAGTACATATGTACTTTTGGGCTGGTGACGTTCTTTACTCTGCATTTATTTAGTTTCAGGGCTGCAGGTCCGTGTGCCCGGACCGCCGTTAGGCTTGTTGCGACGGAAGGCGGAAATCGAGTTATGATAATACTCTATAATTGAATTTAATGTATGAAATAGAGGAGGCTATGTGTTGAGTGATATATTACATATGCTGCTTATGCTACCAACGCACGGACGTTGGCCTAGAACCTTTCTAACCTGGACAGTTTTTAGTAAGGTACTTGTGATTTGGCTGTAGAGACTGCGAAAATAAATGTTCCTTTAACTCGTTCGGTCGCGGTTCGTCGCGTGTCCAGCCTTCTTCTGTTGCGGTCGCTTCATCAGCCACTGTCGAGACGTTTTGCTCTCCTAAAAAGTTGAGCGCCTATTAAATAATTTATCGCAACGACACAACAACAGCATCACAACCACGGCGCGCAATCAATGACCTGCCTAGAAATTCCCGATAGCCGTCCCCGGGTCCCCGTACACTACAGCGCCAATCCGCAATTACATTTGTCGTCTACAACACAAGACGAGATTAGACAGGACAGCAGCACAGCAGGAGAACAGTGAGAGAGGATTCGACGAATTGAAAAACGCTCCTCTATCATCGTCAAGTTTCGCCTGGGATACCTCACTCCATATGATATCTTAAACTACCTAATTATGGGAACTCAACAGGATGCAGAACCGGCTCCAACAAGCGCTGCCGGTTCTGCTGCTGGCGCCGTCTCTTTATCCAAACCAGATCGTTCTTCTACCTCTACCCCTAAAAATAGACAAGATGGGCCGGATGATTCACATACCGGCGCTCATACGGGTCGCGACAAAGATACCTTCAAACAAATACTGATAGCACAGGCTATCGCCCGAGATCACATACACTCTGCTGCTATGGTTAGCGACAAAGACCGGCAAAACGAGCATAACAAATACCAATTTAAAATGATCAACGACTATAAGCTTTTACGAAACGAATACAGAGCATGGTTTACACCTAGTAGACTTTTCGGAGAGGGCTACAGCGGTTATGGTAACGGGAGAACAGAGATCGGACAACAGTCGCGATTGATATATCCAGCTCAGAAACTTAGGCCTGGTAAGCGACAAGCGCCGCCTCTGAAATGGAAGAGAAAGGATATGAAGCAGCAGGCCGAGCAACATGAAGAGTTAGTTCCCGTCCGGCTAGATGTAGATTGGGACAAGATCAAGTTACGCGACACCTTCACATGGAATCTCCATGAGAGAATCGTCGGTGCCGATCTATTCGCGGCGCATTTAGTAGAAGATATGGGACTCAAGGCGCCTGCCGCTCAGCCCGTATTCGAGCAGGTTGTGCAGCAGATGCACGAGCAGCTCAACGACTTTTACCCCTTTGTATTCTCCGATGAAGATGCCTTAGACCCCGAGTTACCTTACTCAGCCTGGAAGAATGACGAGATGAGAATATTAGTCAAGCTTAACATCACCATCGGACAGCATACCTTAGTAGACCAGTTCGAATGGGAGATCAATAACCCTCTCAACTCGCCCGAGGAATTTGCGGCAAGCATGGCCAAGGACCTTGCCCTCTCCGGAGAGTTCACCACAGCCATTGCTCACTGTATCCGAGAGCAGACGCAGCTTTTCACACGGAGCTTATACATCATAGGACACCCATTTGACGGTAGACCAATTGAGGACCCAGATTTAGTCATGGCTTTTCTCCCATCGCCGCTACCCTCCGTATTTCGGCCACAGCAACAGGCTAAGGAATACGCTCCGTATCTATATGAGCTCAGCGAGGCGGACCTAGAACGGAATGAGATGGTATTCTCCCGAGAGCAAAGAAGACAAAAGAGATCCATAAATAGGCGAGGAGGACCGACCCTGCCAGATCTAAAGGAGAGACAGAGGACAATTCGAACTCTTGTTGTCTCTTCTACACTACCAGGCGCGGCAGAAAACGTAGAAGAGAGCAGACTTTATAAGCGAGTAGCGGGTGCGCCAAACACAAGCACAGGCAGGAGGAGAGGAGCTGGAGCACGTGACGGCGACATATCAGATTCCGACGAAAGTGACGATTCGGGTCCTGATTCTCCTGCCGCTTCGCAGTTAACTGGTACGGCGAGAACGAGAGGTATGAGGGGTGCCGCAACTGCTGCACAGCAGCGGATGGCGAACCTCGGCCGGTCCGAAACCCCCGAAGCTACGATACATCACCATGAAACCCGCACATCGAGAAGATCTGGGCGTGAACTAACTAGGGAAGACACCGAGGAACCCCAACAACTCCAAGTAACGCTCAGGGTTACGAATAAAGATAGATTACGGAAGATTCTATTACGTGATCCCAGATTGAAGCAAAGTACACCAGGCAGATCACAGACGCCATCTCAACCCTATGCCCGTGCCCATAGTGCCTCTGTATCGAATAGCATGCCTCCTCCTCCTTCTACTCCGAACGCCTCGACATCGGCAGCTATTCCGACAACCCCTTCCAATACTATACCACCAGGACAGATCGGCCGAGTTGAAGCCCCTGCACCGATAGCCGGGGCACCTCCCCCAGTTCCCGTAAGACATTTTCCCCACCCATCCCAACACCCCAATCCCTCGATCTTTAGATTCTCCAGCAGTCGTTATGATCTGTAGTCCCGATCTATGACTTGGCAGGATCCCCTTCCTCCCCCTTTTTTTTCTATCTCGTCTAGCCGCTCATACTCACAACCTCTAACAGCCCCCTCCTCCCGCATGGCTCGTCACGGCGCTGGAGAAGTTCAAACAAGAACCTGCGTACGCAAACGATAGGTTTGAAGGAGTCATGCGGTACAGCTCAGTTGACTCCAACACGGGAGCGCCTGTCCCTCTACCCCAGCAAGGCGAGCCAATTCCCTCGCACGTGCGATTTTATTTCCTCCCGCGGATCCGGTGTCTCGATTGCCCGGGTAAGCTATACACACCGGGACCGGACATATCAGCTTCGAACTTCGAGGTACACCTCAAGAACAAAGTACATAAAGAGAAGGTCGAGCTCCGACTGGCGTCGGAAGGCAAGGCGGGCGGAGTTGCGTGAATATAAACGACGTATGGCATATGTAAAGAGGTGACACGTGAGCAGAAGAGCCTAGGAATGCGACATCTTTATAAGACATGGTGTGGAGTTACGGATTGGAGAATCTTATCCTTCCCAAGCGGCCCCTTTAGATATGCGCGTCGGCCAGTTTGGTACTGGTTAGTTACTACAGGGAGTTATTAAAATTTGCAATGGGGAAGCGCGGAGTTTGTATTAATATCAGCTCTCAGCGCCGTATAATGAGCTTTCTCTCGATAGAGATGCCCCATGTTGAAAGAAGACATCTAGTTGTTTCGATAGTTAATTTAGCTAAAGATCTGAGGTCGAGTAAGGTCTGTTCGAGAACTTGTCTAACCTAATGGCCAGTTGTATAAGATGATACCTATGTAGTTGACTGGATGTTTGTAAGTTATTTGGGCAAGTTTCTACTTTATTCACTGTACTTTATTGATTACCTAAATATGTACTTGTATTATCACAGTCATAAAATTTAGCCCCCCTTAAACAAGCGGTTAAACCCGGTTTGGCCTCGAACAGGCTTGGCACATATGCTTAGTGGGTCACTTGGTCATCTCCTGCAGGGATCGACCTCCGATAAGGACGATAAAGGCTCATGGCGGCGCAATTCTCGTTAGAGTTTCGTAGCCTTGTTCTTTCCGCGGTGTACATAGCAATACATTACCTACATAAGGCAGTTGGTAGCATACCACGGGCACTTTCCCTTATGTACGTTGCGTTTTATAGTTTGCGATGGACGTGTTTTCGGTAGCAACTTCTGATACAGACGACGAGTTAATGCAATTAATGCAATGAAGCTCGCCTATTACGTGAATGCGCTCCTTCATCCTCTTTACACAACTTCTTTTACTTAATACTATTTCCTTTTCTCTACCTTTACCACCGTGTCGCATCGCGTCGCCCATCGAAACAAACACTCACTATATTTTCCAATATTTACATCTCCATTCACCGAGTCGAGTCTTCCTTAACTTTAACTTCTTACGTCGCCCACCATGAATTTACCTATACGTTCCATCGATGAGCCAGGCATTAAAGTCCCAGGCGACGTGGCTGCCGGCCTGCGCCAGGAAGTAGCTACCATTCTTCATCGCAACACGACCGCGTTTCCTGGCGCACAACCCGTGAGCTTTACGAGAAAGCACCTGGATGAGCTAATGAGAGAAGAGTGAGTGCATATTCCTGCTTTAAAACTTATGTGTACTGCAGCCAGTTGCCGTTTTAAGGGTCTAACATGCGTGCCTTGCTCTATAGTTATTACGTCTGCGAGAAATCAGATGGTATTCGATATCTGCTGTACCTAGCCGCCGACGAAAGTGGCCAAGAGTGTCACTACTTGATCGATCGTAAAAATGATTATTGGTATATTCAAGAAGGTTCACTACACTTTCCCCTCCCGGGGAATCATCAAGCCTTCCATAGGGGAACCGTGCTAGATGGAGAACTAGTTGTAGACACCCTAAGCGATGGGCGCCAGGAGCCTCGATACCTAGTCTTCGACTGCCTCGCGTTGGACGGTCAATCGCTGATGTCGCGAGAGCTTTCAAAGAGGCTGGGCTACTTTCAGGAACAAGTTTTTAAACCATATAAGAAACTGCTTGATGACTTCCCCGAAGAGAGGCAATACCAACCTTTTTTCATCGACCTGAAGTCTATGCAAATGGCATACGGCATTCGCATGATTTTTGAGGATGTAATCAAGAATCTCAAACATGAAAATGACGGCTTGATATTTACGGCCCTGCATAGCGAGTACAAACCCGGCACTGATCCGCACATTTTAAAGTGGAAGGACGCCGACGAGAATACCGTTGATTTCCGGTGGAAGCTAAAGTTCCCCTTGGTTGAGCCGGACGAGCAAGAGCGAGCCGAGGGCATTACAGAGCCCTTCATCGACTATGACAGTACACCTGGGGTAGACCTACTAGCAAATCACGGCGGTGGCCAATATCATGTCTTTAGTACGCTGCACCTGGAAGATGACGAATGGGAGATCCTAAAGGGACTAAATGAAGCCCTGGACGAGCGAATAGTAGAAGTTTATATGGACAGCCAAAAACGATGGCGTTTCTACCGGTTCCGGGACGACAAATCAGATGGGAACCACATCTCTGTCGTTGATAGTGTTATAGAGAGTATCCAGGACGGAGTAACCCGCGAGGAGCTCCTAAATCATAGCAAGAGTGTGCGAGACAACTGGAAAGCCCGGGAGAAGGTTCGAAAATGAGCATGCGTGGTGAATGACCACCCGGATGTTTAGAAAGGGCATTTGGAGTCCCTCGGCATGTAGCAATTCTTGGCCAAGACATGCCGAGCTTTTTGCTTTTATTTCTAATAACTATGTACAACCTAGAGAGGCGGAGGTTATTGGACTACAGACGACGATACCACATAATATCACGGCACCCAGGTTAGGAAAACCACAAGACGTGTGGTCCGGATGGAGTTTGGGAGAATATGGCTCTTGTTTAGCGACTTGAAAAGCATCATCTAGGTTAGACTCTTCGATAGGTAGAAATTACAATGTTTCTTCTACCAATATCCATTGTGTTGCTGAGTCGCTCCTGTCTAGCATTGATAAGTGCAACGGGTGCTGAGGTATGACTATAATTACCTCTTAACGCGCCCTTATCCCAGTACTTGCTTTCATGTAAAGGAATATTCCAGCCAGCCAGGCATAAATGGCTCAGCAAGTGCTCGTCGTATTATACACGTTGATATCATATAAGACGTAATCAATATTTCCTCTCTACTGGTTCCCTTTTATTCTTTTCAAGGCTGACACCGGATTGACTATAACTTATACGTTCTCCTCGTAACTAGTGGGAATATATAAAAGTCGGACCAAAACACCTTTTATGTTTCCACACCATTATTAACACCCTGTACATGCGGATGTTTTATAGAAATTTAGGTAGAAACACGCCCGCGAGAGCATTCTTAAGAGCAAAGCACTCCATACTCCGAGCATAGCATTTTGCAACATCGTATATATACACTGTCGTATTTTACAAGTACATTTAACCGTTACGCACGCAACTCAAGGGAAAGAATGGAAGCTTGAAATCACCGCACGATGGCAGGGGGGCTCTCATTATATGGTCTTCTCTTCTCCCTACACGAACAAGGGTATAAAAAGGAGGTTGATGGTATGTTGACAGAAAGCAAGAAAAAACAACAACAGTAAGTCAAAAGACCTCATCCGCGAACCTGACCCTGGATCAACCACCTATCTCGTTATCGTATTTTCGTCTTACAATCCGGAGCTGCTACTCCTACACATTGGAGAGGACGTAAACCCGGAGACGAATCATGAACTGTAAATTCCACTTCGCATATCGGTTAGAATTTTCTCCAAACTAGAGCGCCTCTTCTATTGCACTCGTGTCCACGCAACAGCTAGCCTGTTGAGTTCAGTTTGTAGTTAAAGGTCCGCCGCCTTATTCGGAACCTCCATCCTCATCTTCGTCCTGTGTCGCGGCTCTCCTCGATCTCGTAGATCGAGTGCTAACGGGCCTAGCCTTAGGAGCCGGTTTCGCTTTTGCCTTAGATGATGCAGGCGATTTGCCCTTAGCCGTGCTCGCTTTTATAGCAGGCCGCGAGGCTAGGACCTTAGTCTTCGAAACGGGAGACGAGGTAGTAGCGGCACGACTTTTCCTCCCGTTCGTTCTCGGCGGCGGCGACGATGGAGGAGCTTCCTCCTCTTCATCCTCAACATCGCTAAGCTCGCTTTCGTCTCCCTCAGGTTCATCTGCTTCTCCCTTTTCGGTTGCAGGCTCGGCCTCGGGCTCTTCCTCAAGGTCAGATAACTCCGAGGAATCTTGATCTTCGTTCTGTACAGGATTTCCGCTGCCGTCATAGTATTCCCATTCCGCTACACCCGCAAGCATATCTTCATCGTCTTCTGATGAGTCCCGCTCGATATATGATGAGTTCTTTTTTGAGCGGCCACTGCGCCTACGGTCCGCAGAATCTGCGGCTGGCGATGATGACGTAGTAGCTTTCTTAGACTTTGATGAGCTCTTCGCGGATTTAACAGCAGGCCTTTTTGATGAGGGTTTTGTAACCTTCGACGCTGTCCTTGGTTTCGTGCCGGCTTTTGGTACCGTTGTCCTAACCCTTTTCGAGGCAGGTTGCCCTTCAGTACGTTCGTCTGCACCTCTCCGTTTCTGTAAACCGATAATGTTAACTCAGAGTCCAAATAGTAAATATGTTTTATGACTGTACCTTCTTCTTATCTATTGATTTTATTAACTCGTCCAACCGTTCGTCGAGTCCTTCTGGAAGGAATTGCTTTTCGGCAATTTCTTGCGCTACGCTATGGCTGGGAAGCGCGGTATATAGTCCTATAGGCAAACCAACCTTGCCAGAATATGTCTGGAAAGTCCAGTTCTTCTTTTCCTGCCATTTCCTTAGGACGCTCTGGGCGAGATCACTGATGACGTAGATTCTTTCACTCTCTTCAGGAGTAATGCCATCCCTAGTTTGCTTTACGGCTTCAGCGTATTTAAATATCATCCCAAAGTTATCTGCCGTAGCAACGTTGCTAACATAGTATAGTATGTATCTGGCATGGTCTACCAAATCATCTACTTCCGTCCCGTAATCTGGGTGATGCGCCAACAAGGAGATCAACCTTGCCATTGTTGATTCCATGACGTTTTGTTTGACGTCTCGGAAGTAACGAGCCCTAGACCGTATCCAAGTTTCAATCTGGCTCTTGAAAGCCGTATCCGGTTCGAAAGCCGTCAAAAAAATCATAGTGTAGAATCGAGGTCGCAGCTTATTTTGTACGAGATACTTCTGGAGCTTCTCAACAAATAGGCGACGGACCATAGCGGTTGGGTCTTGCGTTAAGAAGGCCAGTTGGTTAAAGTCGGTATGCGAAAATATTTCTTCTATGTGCTTCGAGGTACACAGTTTCAGAAAGAGCTGGCCGGCAAGCAGCCGCAAGCGGGACTTGTGGTGTTTAGGGGTATCCTTGGTCTTACATAGTTCGCCAGCTTGCTTTAGGAGACTTCGAAGAAGCTTGAAGACTGGTACGGCTAGCTCCTTTGCCTCTTCTAAATCTCGAATGCCTCGAAGGCGATTGACTACTAGCTTGAGTGCCCAACACTTGACTTGACACTCCTCATCAAGTTCAGAGTCGGCAACCCACTCAGGGTCTGATTCTTTGGCATCTGTACGAACTTTAAGTAATATATCCTCTAGCGCTGTGTCAATGATTTGATCATTGGCATCCGCTGTCACCTTAGGCGCTAGAAGCTCTAGCTGGCTGACAGCCGCAAGTTTGGTTACGAAATGAGGCGAGTCATATCCCCAATTCTTCATGATTCTTTGTAATAAGTCCGTCGCCGAAACCATACTTCTGTCGTCTTTTCTTGCCATCATGACGTTAACTGCATATTTTGCGACTTTGGCCGGCTCTCCGTGCAAGGCGTAATTCATTAGTGCCTGAAAAAACTTGCGGTCATCTGGAAGTTCATTGGGATACTTTTTCGAATACGAGGAGCAGGCTTTCAACGTCTCGACCATCGTAGCCTCGTTCGTCCGATCAGCGGTTGGCGCACCGTCTACCAGGTCTTTGCAAAGCTGCCCAACGTGTGTCTTGAATAAGTCTGGATTGTTTTGGGAAATCTCGGTGGTAATCTCCTGAGCAGCCGCTCCAAGCCCGTCTTTGTCGCTCTTCGAACAGTCCATGTAGGTCGAGAGGTGACTCTTGTTCAACACAATGTAGGCAGAGCGGTAAAGCAGAGGCAATAAAGTGTCCAACATATGAGGTTTTGGTGAGCCTTGGACCCTCTTGACAAATTCCTTAATGGCTCTATGCACCGTCTTAAAATCGCTCTCCGCAGAGACTGCAAACTTGATCAGCTGGTAACAGCGACGGTCGTGCCAATTAGCAAAGTTATGTAGATCCGCCTCGACCTTGGCTGGATCAGGAAGGAACTGGCATAAGTATTGGATCGTCTTTTTGAGATTTTGATTGATTACATCCGCGTTGCCCTCTGGACTCCCTCCGTTGAATGCATCGCACTGGCGAACTAAATTTTCTAACACCTTTGCAAACTGGGGTTGCCGTGCTTGCAGTGCGTTAAAAGCCCTTCTAGCATTACTATCCAGATCTTTCACGAGTAGCAGGATCCTTTCGGCGCGAATCCTATCTTGGTCATAACCAGAGTCAGGGGCTGACTGAGACTGAGAGTTGCCGTTTGACGACTTGGATCCTTTTGCCTTGGGAGGCGGAGGGAAAGATAGGGGGATGAGACATTCGAATACGACACGTTCCAATAAAACGTTCAGGTCTAGATCGTTGGCGTAAAACGTGTTGAATATGCGGGTAGGGATGCCGGATAATGCTGCAGTAACCAGTTCGTGTCCGGCTGCTAATTCACCACTGCCCACCGCCCAAAGTTTGCCTAGAAGAGCCATTGCTTCGACACGAACAGACGACCTTTTATCTCGACAACGATCTGCGAGAGTAAACAGCACTGAGCCCTCCTTAGTTACACCCCCAGCGGCGGCTAGCTTGATGACGATATCACGGAAGCTGAAAGTTTCAATGGCCTTTACGGCAGCTAGTCGAACCTTTTCATCGTTATCAATCAACTTATCTCGCAGGCCATTGACGAATACTGATTCGTCCTCCCGGCTGAGCCCAATGTGGCCCGCAGATGTCGAGACGATGTAACCTGCAGCTATTGTCCATGCTGCCCGGATTAAAGGAGACTTGTCGTTCTTCCTGCCAACGAAATTATGGAATGCTTGAGAATGCGTTTGTGCGAAGGATTGGGGGGAATTCGGGGTAGTGAGAATGCTTGTGGCGGGATGGTCTAAAACTTCGTCATTCAGCTTAAGAGGTGGATATGCTGCCGGGTCGAGTTCCGGGGAGGGGGGTGGCCCAGCAGCACCAATGCCAGATATCATATCCCCTAAGGTCTGAGTTGCTAATAAACGCAGTTGAATATTATCGGCAGAAAGCTCAGCATCGACTTGGGGTATGACATAAAGCAATACCGTGGGTGCTGCTCGCCAAAGCTCGCGGAGAAGCTGGTGAGCCTTTCGCAACTCCTTGAAATCAGACTCTGAAGGACCCGTAGTACCATCATCATTATCCGAATCGTCATCATCCCTATGTCCGTTGACATTTCCACTATTTCCAGAGACGTCCATAATTACTTCACTAAAGTATTGGCCCACATAGCGTGCCATCTTCTCTGGGCATGAATTACACACTGTTTTGGCCATTACATATGCCGGAGGCTCCTCTTTGGGCAGAAGAGTGGTCTGCTTGCCGTTGGCGTCCGCTTTCTCCTTGTGGCCTCCTGGGGGTGCCGCTCGTAGAAATTGTGCCATAATAACATCTAATACAGCCGGTGGAAGTGAAGGACTCTCTTCAACCAAAGTCACCAGAATATCCGTCATGTGAAACTCGACATCCTTGGCGACCTGTTCTCCCGACGCTGCTTTTGACGACCCCGAAACACCATCGAAAAAGGATGAAAAAAGGTGAAGTAAAAGCTCCTCAGCATTTGTAACATCGTTGATCAAGAGGATGCTCTTGACCTCGGCAAGAGACGTCAGGACGTACTTGTGCTGTGTATTATACGCGTTACTCGGATCCCAGAGCGCAGGGAGGATCGTTTTGACAAAAAGAGTGAATATTTCCTATATAATCAAGAAGATATAACAGTCAGAAAAATGATGTTCATACTAATGCAAACAACATTTCTAAACTCACCTTGAGTTGCTTTGGCGTAAAGGGGGCTTCTGGGGCGCATAGTTTTAGTATATCTACTAGGCAGGCTGCGGTGAAGGCTTTCACTCCAGCTTCCCTATGGGTAAGTAGGTTAGGTGAAGCCAGCTCTTTCGCAACATGTTTCAGCGACTCTTTGTCAATGGTCTCTTGATCTAGATCAACTAATTCCTTAGAAAGTTTTTCTAGACGTCGAAGAAGCTCGCCAGTTGCGATTGGCTTTCCTGCGCGCCATGATAAAGGCTCATCGAATTGGAGGGTTACAAGCTCTTCTTCCATTTCCTGGTCCTCCTCCTCTGGGACCTCGTCCCTATGACGAACCATGCTGGATTAGAAATGAATACCGATGTCGTATATATATACGAGCGCGGTACAGTATAAGAAGATGGTAGGCAGTATAAGGTAAGAACCTCGGAGCGTACGATTTGGATCTGGCCTTGTCTCGTCTGTGAGGAGTGGGGCGCGAAAGAGAACGGATTCGGGTAATGAACGAAGGCGCGCAATAATTGGAAATGAAACTAATTGAACCAAGAGTAAAGAGTTCTCCGAAAAAGAAGACGGTGAAGATGTGTGGTCAGGTGGAGGGAAGGAAGCAGAAACATTAGTGGGACAAATGCCGGGAAGGACTTTTGATGATGAGATGGTCTTTTATCGGGGAGGTGTTACGCGACGGGCCTCTGCAGGGTCAATCAATCAATTTCCAGCATCGCGTGTGGCGTCCTTGCACTTGACCTGTTTCTATGTACCTTTGTATATGCGCTTCACCCCGGCGTGATTTTAATCGGAATTTCAATCAGAACACTGGGTATGGGGCAGAATCAGTTACATAAGGTACGAACCTTAAAAAAACGCGTACTAAAGAAGGTAAGGAAGGTACGATGCCAAGCTGCATATTATTGTTAGTGCATCTTGCTAACGATTTGCAAGCAGGTGCGAACGGGAGCTTGGACCAACGGATCCGATCAATGACACATGTTGACGACTTACGGTACCTATTAGATGTATTCCGTACTTCGTCCCTGCCTTATGCTTGTACATCCCCATTGTACTTGAGGCTCTAGTGATCCTTGAACCTCACATCGTGAAATCAAAAAGCATTAACACTTATTCGCGCCCATTACTAGGTACATTTTGATCAATCTGTAAATTAAATATTTTTATTTTAAATATGCTACTGCAGTATCGAATTTCACATAGTTAGTGAACTGAACTTGTGATCTTTTCGTGTGAAGATATGCCTGTCTACTATCAAGAATTGTAAAATCAAGACTTAGAGATGGTTCATGATCAACATAGATATATCCCCAGAATAGAGCCGTTGGATAATAAGCCGCAATTCTAAGATACGTAGATACCTATTTATGTAATTCTTAGTACTTGATTTAGTACTTTGAGCAATTCGTAGCCCAGTGACAAGTCTTGTAATATTGTCTTTCTAGGGTTAGCAACGGTCAGATGCTACCGTTACTAGACAATCTAGGTAGGTAGATATCCATTATTGTCAAATTACAGCCGGCAACTTGATAACCCAAATGTAGCACCTGGCGTTCTTTCCTGTGTAGGCTGATTGTGCAAGTTTGCCCTTCGTCTGAAAATCAACCACTCAGGTGATTTGCCGGAGTGATTAGGGAAGGTCAGGTAGCAACAAGATAATAATAATAATAAACCTACCTAAGGTACTAACTACAATTAATGTGGTGTGCCTAGAAACCAAGTACTTACACCAGCTGCCAAACAAGCAGAGCAGGATCACGGACCACGCCGACGCCAACAAGAATCAGTCTGCCAGTCTGCCACCCCGCACAACAATATTTAATCAAGGCGACTTTCCGAATTCTACTCTCGATCGTAGATTCTTCCTTTTACATCCTACAAATATTTAACTCAGACGAGTCTTCCTTTCTTTTACCATCCCATCCTTGACCGGTCCACCACCGACAAACCAACCACTCGTTTATCTTTCCCAAGTTTGTTGACATCCGGATTAAAGGATACATTACTATCATTCCTCAATATTGTAAGTACATCTTTCTACTATTCATTTGCTTCTCTTGTCCATTCTACCTTCAACTCCTGCTCGCGTGTCTGCCGTACATACATCCTCCCCTTCACCTTCATCTTCACCTTCATCGCACTCTACCTCCCCAGCCTTCGCATCTATATACAACCCAATTCTTAACACGTCGCACTCTTCTTCTTCTTCTCAAGTTCACAAGGTTTCTTTACACCAGTATCTTTCAATCAGATCCCTTGTTTATTTCCCAAACCACCCAAACCATCCAAACCACTCATCCTTATTTTACATTGACCATCCTTTCGCTCCCTCTCCTATAACAATTACTCACATCAAAACTAGTCATCTCTTTTGTGGATTTTGTTCCTCCGATAATATCATATCAGCATTCCAAACTTCAAACACTGTTCAAAAGACCGGTAAGTCTTTTCTTTTCTTTCTTCTATCCCCGGTCGCGTGGTCTTGTATCTTGTCTGCCTGGTGGCATACCATATACCACTGTATAACATACCGTCTACCCACCTACAACACACTCCTTCCTAACCTTCCTATTATCCACATACTTCTACCCCTATTGCTTTCTCTTTAGCACTATGGAATACTGTTTGATATTCTTTCATACTTTATATACATTACCAGTCTTAATCAATGTCAAGACTATTCACTAACAATCCCAACTACAGGACTCAACAGTGTCGACATGATTTCCGAGAAGGAACAGAACGTCGCGCCTGGCGTGGCCATCCACGAGCTACCTGGTTCGCCTGTTACGCCTGGTAACACTACCGAGACTTGGCGCAAGTATCTCGGCTGGATTTATTCCACTTCTCCTTCCGAGGCTCGACAGCCTGCTACCCCCCAGCTTCAGCAGGCAACTCTGCCTCAGGGTTATCAGCAGGCTGTTTACTTCGCCGACATGGATCCCAAGGCTCAGGATCCCCATGCTGTCTATCGTCGCACGGGTAAGTACTGGATGTTCTTAAGACTACCACTCGGTCTTCCTATTGTTGTGATGTAACTAACTGACATTCACCAGACCGCCAGAAACTCTTGATTCGAATCTGCCGTGCCCTTTCGGTTACAGTGGTGGTCCTCGCCTTTGGAGTGATCATTGGTATGTGCATAGACAAGACACAATCATCGTGCGGCACTTGTTCATGGCTAACTATTTCTTAGCCGACTTGTATGCCAGCAGCCATCACAACGGCGTTCCTCAGTCGGAGAAGCATCGCCGAGAGGTCACTGGCTACGGAGAGTATCCTGATCTCACCGTGACTCCTTTCATGCCCACTGCTGGTGATATGAACGCCACTGTGACTGATTACCTTACCACTCTGTCTCACTCCCATGTCATTGTCCCTGTTACCGTCGAGACATCTGTCACCGGTTCTTCTTCAGTGGGTACCAATGTCACCCAGCTTCTGAACAGTACCACTCTTTCGGCAACCGCAACTGTTAGTCTGTCCACCGGTATCCCCAATGCCACGGTCACTTCTACAGGCTCTCCGTCTGAGCAGTCTTATCCTGCCAAGACGACCCTGTCCGAAATCACTGGTCGACCTACCAGCTGGTACTTTGGTAACAGCACGTCTCCGTCTCAGTATGCAGGCACTGGAACTGGCACTGGATTGTTCACTGCTCCCACTGTTGTCGATGTCACTGTGACTGTTTCTCCTATCCCAGTCTTGACCACCGGAGCCACAGCTGCCATGAACATCTCTGGTTCTTCCTCTTGTTCTCAATCTGACTCCTCGACTGGTGTTCATAACACTACCAGCACCCGTCCTACGGTTTACCAAACTGTCACCGAGACTTGGACTTCTGACAACTGCACCCTGGACGCCTCAAAGACTTCTTCTATCTCTAAGGCCTCGTCTTCTATTGTGACTACAACCGCTGGGTATGTAACATTATTTCCTCCTCTATCGAGAATAAAACTAACATGCCACTTACAGTACTGATGCCATGTCTGCAAGCACCTCGGGAGCAATCGAGTCCAACACTCAGGCTGTGGCAACCCCAGTTTCCCAATCTGACTCGAGCTCTTCAGAGATTTACACCAGCACTGAGACCGAGACCGTGACTCCTATTGTTACTCTTGAGAAGACTACCAGTGTTTCAGAGACTCCCCTTGGTACCATTACCATTCACGTATCCCTGGAATCTACTGCCACTCAGACTGGTTCTCAGACTGGTATTCCTACCCCGTCCCCTGGAACTTGCGGCGCAAAGGAAACTGAGACTACCACCGTTGTCATCTTCTCGACTGTGTATGCTAACTCCGCCTCGACCAACACTGCCTCTGCCAGCACTGTGGCCAGCACCACTGAGAGCAGCACTTCTTACGTCGTGTCTCCCGGTGTCCCTTATACCTACGAGAGCTCTCAAAACACAACTGTGATGACGTCGACGATGACTTCTACATCAACCTCGACTATTTCTCTGAACACTACCCAGACTGTCTCGGTTGGTTGGAACACTACTAGCACATCTGGTGTTGAGGCTGTTAGCACTTCTTCCGGTTCCACTCCTTGCACCCACACCGTTCTCGTGACTGCCAGTCCCAACTCGACTGTATCTGCTGCCCACTCGTCATCTGTGGTTCCTAAGGTTTCTTCCTCCACTACTGATGATTCCGACTTCATTGTGAGCACTCTGATCAGCACCATGATCACCACTTACAGTCTGCACCCGCACTCCGTGATGGATATCAGCACCCAGTCTTATCCTACTGCATCTGCGGTCGTCACATTCCACCCCTTTGCAGTCAACGGTACAGGCAATGGCACCTCCAACTCCAACACCTCGGTGCCCGAGAACATCCCTCTTGGCCCCGCCTCCCCGGACTCAGTTGTTCCCTTGAACTTCACCTTTTCAAGCAGCACTAGTCACCCGCGTCCCACCTCTTCCGCTATTGAGTCCAGCGGTGCTAACTCAAAGGCCGGTTCCAACATGCGCCCCCGGGATTCGGAGAGCAGCTTTGACGCAATGACCTGTGCCGTGATGCTATCCACCGTGGTGGCCATTCTCCTCTCAATCTAAGGACGAGCGGCACATCAAACAATTTTGGCTGATACAATCCTATGTTCACAAGATGCCACACGACGCACACTACATTCCAATGTCTAGTGGGCCTTCGCATATGCCATGGGGGCTTTTCTAACCCCATCGACTCAGAGACACAGATACAAATGACAACTCTGTCACATCGGCATGGAACGGCATATCCAACTTGAGGAGGAACAATAAAACAGGATTCTGATCTCTTTTCTCTTTCCTTTTCTTCGAGTTTTCTCATCGCAACTAACATGGCCTAATGATTTGATATGACGTGCTGCTTTTTGCGGGGGTTTTCTCTTTTCAGGTGTAATAAAAAAAATCAGGATGGATCGGAAGGAACTTTGTTACTAGCAGGTTAGGAAAGGCAGGCCATGCCACTGATATCCTCTGCTCTTTTGTACCTTTGCACTCTCGTAATACGAAATTCTCTATTATTAAATCTTTTGCTCTTCGTGCATCTCCATGTAATTCCAAATTGAACAACAATGAATGAATGACTTAACATTCCCGTATAAAGCTCTTGAGGTTCTTAGCTACCATTCGTATTAACAGAATTTTACAGTAATCATCAAAATTGGGAGTGAAGTCCTTCCTATT